GTAACTTGCTTATTAACTACGTTATTATTTATATAAATATATAGTTATATAACTTATTATAAATAACTAGCTAGTTATTAGTATTTATAATAAAATATAAATAAAAACTTTAAATTATATATAAATAGCTTTATATTAGATTAATTAATATTAAGCTACTTAAATTTCAATATATAAACTAATAATATTTAATATAAAGATACCTTTACTTACCTACTATACCTAGCTACTTAGGTAAACTTTACCTTTTACCTAAATAGGTTTTTACTAATAACTTTAGTAGCTCTTCTAATATATAAATAATATTACCTAATTTTACCTTAATTTTTATAATATAACTATAACTATATATCTTAATTATATTATAGTCTTCCTTTATATTTTATAGACCTCTATAGTATAAAACCTTTTAACTACGTCTATACTATTTTTTTAACTACGTCTACTCTTACTATTTTTTATAGGTTAACGTTTTTAGTACACTTTTTAACTACTTCATACTATATGTGGTTAGCGTATTAGTGTTAGGTAGAAGTAGAGTATTAGATAAAAGAGAAGTTTATAAAGGTATCTAGAAAATTATAGGTTTTTCTATAGAAAAAACGGTTTTAAGAACTAACTACTCTTTACTAGAACTCGTGTTTTGATACTACTCGAGGGTATAAGCCATTGCCCATCGCTGTTACCTCCCTTAGATACATGGCCACCATCTTATTCATCCCAGCAGTCATAGCTTGTGCTATCCATTTTGTCATAGGCAAAGAAGGGAAAGGTTTGCTCATCTCTCGTTCCAAATAATGGCCAAGCTCCTTCACAGGAAATGCGTTCGGATTACATTCGTGAAGAAAAGCTACACCTTGCTCGTCTTTAGCCGGGATAGCCTTTGTAGCTGACTCACAAACCCTGTGAGCAACATCTTCCACACGAACGAGGTCGAAATATCCATCCCACCCATCCATATCAGGGACTGCAGAGAGAAGTCTGGAATATGTAAGGAAATTTGCGATGATATCTCCTGATGGAGCGTCATCGCCGATAATTCCGGTCGGTCGATGGATGGTGACTTTGATTCCATACTGAGCAGAGGCATTTTCCAGGAGCCGCTCGCTGACCCACTTGGAGCTCTGATAACCATGTGCCCCACCATCAGTTGGAGGGTATGACTTCACGCTGACTTCCTGTAGTGGAAGCAAGGCCCGGGGAACGAATCCGGCTACCCCGGCAGACGAAATGTAATGAATAGGGATCCGACGCGGTACGCTAAGTCGGATAAGTTCGCTCGTGGACCCGACGTTGGCCTTCTTTAGCGAGCTGTAAGCTTTTAAGAAGGAGACATCGGATGCGTTATGTATGATGGTATCGACATGAGTAGATAGAAAGTTGGCTTGGAGCTCTGTGAGGCCAAGCCTTGGGAGGGTCAGATCCCCAAGGTAACCGAAAACCTTGGGTCCTGCAACTTTCATTCTCTCCAAAGATGATGCGGATCGAATGCCAACGCAGTGAATCTCTGCAACATGAGGTGAGGCAACGAGCTCTTGAAGTAGCTCAGTACCCAGGAATCCGGAAGATCCAGTCAGTAATATGACTTTGTGCCCGGACGCCTCTGATTCAGCCGTAGCTGGACTCGCTATGGTGGGAGCATGGATCTCAGGAACCATGGCTTCGTCTTCCCAAACTATGCCAGAAGACGATGACGCTCCGGTAAAACAGTATATGCGCTGTGTCATGGTCTCGACAGAACAGGATTCAATCATTTCACCGAGGGGAACTCTGACATTGATCTTCTGTTGAATGGCAGCTTGGAGCTGAACAAGCAGGAGAGAATTTCCACCTGCCTCGAAGAAGTCTGTCTCGCGACAAATTCTTACTCCCTGCACTGCTTCGTCTGGCAAAATCTCTTGCCACAATGAGATCACAGACTTTTCTTGGTCAGTAAGTTCGCTTGACGTTGTTTCCTCACTTGTGGTATAATTGAGCTCAAGAGAAGCCAATGCAGCCCGGTCTACCTTTCCACTTAGTGTGAGCGGAAGTTCCGCCAAAGGCATGATCCATGCAGGCCACATGTACTTTGGCACAGGGAGTGACTTGCGAAGTTGTTTCAGGTATGAATGCCTCTTAGCGTCCTTTGGCGCCGAATCTTTATCGAACACGACAAATGCTACCAGAAAAGTGCTTGAAGTAGTTCCCCTTGCGTCAACGACCGCGCTGGCAAGCGTGCCAGTTGACGTTTGCAGAAGTACATTCGCAATTTCATCAAGCTCGACACGTTGACCACGAAGCTTGATTTGAGAATCACCTTCCAGGCGTCCAAGAAAAACCAGAGAACCATCGTTTAGGAGGCGACCTCGATCTCCAGTTCGATAAACCGAGCCGTATGATGGATCAGAGTTAAATGTGTTGGGAAGGAATTTGGCCTGCGTCAGGGCGGAGTTATTCAGGTATCCATTTCCAACTCCGATTCCACCAATGTATATCTCGCCAGGAAATCCAGTAGCAACAGCTTTGCCGTCTGAGCCCACAATATATACTTGATAATTGGGAAGAACCTGGCCCACGGTGCAGAAGTTGTGATTTTCTTCCCTTTTGGTCATGTCTAATGGGATGAGTCCTCGGCAGCACGATACTGTGATCTCGGTCGGCCCATACACGTTGAAAAGCTGCAGACCAGGGACGTTAAGTGCGTGAAATGCTTGTCGCAGATGGTCAGTGATTTTTTCTCCACCGCAAAAAACGTACTTCCACCGAGAACAGTGCCGTAGAAAGTCTGCGCCAAGATGCAACATAGCGGAGTACTCAGAGGGAACAGCCATTGAGTAGGTTATCTCCTCCAAGAGTATGAGTCTTGAGACTTCGATGGGGTTAGCTCTGACGGAGCTTGGAACGAGAACCACTTTGCCACCATTGCACAAAGCAATAAATACCTGCTCAACTGTCATATCAAACCCCGGTGAGCTTTGCTGGAGCACGACTTCTTGCTTGAGTCCATACTGCTGCGTCACTGCTGCAAATTGACTGACCCAACCACGATGATTCAATAATACACCTTTGGGCGTTCCTGTCGAGCCGCTGGTATAGAGGATGAAGGCTGTATTGTCGGGGTCAGACATATTTCGCAGATATGGCTTGACAATGGTTCTTGAATTTGCCATCGTATCAATTTCGACGACTCTTATATCTTGTTCTCTGCCTAAAGCTGTGGCAGTATTCGCCATTTTTGCGTCGCAGATTATGACTGCAGGGCATGAGTCCTGAATGATGGCGGACAGTCGTCCATGAGGATTCCGAGGGTCCAGCGGAACGATAGTGCCCCCGAGACGAAGGACTGCGAGGATGATAGCTATTGCGTTAATCGATGCCTCATTGATCATCGCCACCCGTGTCAAGGTGGCCACCTGAAGATCAGCCAAGATCTGTGCAAAGGTAGCCGCCCGTTCATGTAACTCCACATATGAAATTGACTCTTCTGAAAACCCCACCTTGACGGCAGTTGCAGCCGGATATTTATCCACCATTAGCTCAACCTGACTGGAAATGGTGGCTTGCCAACCACTCCAAGATTCAACAACTGGGCCAAATCCGACGCGTAGATTTTGGTGTGTTTCTGACTGTTGGTGAAGCGCATGATCATCAAGCTTTGTCTCCGGAAACTTGCAAAGGTTGCCTAAAAGCTCAACATAGAGATTAATAAAGCGACTGCAGTCTTCGTCAAGGTAAAGGCAACGTGGCATAGTAAAGGATATGGCAGTGTCTTGTCCCGGTGTCTCGACAATGCTGAAAACCAGGTCGCAGGCAGTTTTCGCATCCTCAATCTCTACCATTTCCATCTGGCACGACGCTAGTTTGTTGACTTGGCCAATTCCCATAGTATAGTTAATTAGTACTTGGAACAAAGGGTTATGACTGGACGAACGTGGAACATTTAGTTCCCTGAGCAGAGCATCGAAAGGGATATTGGAGTGAGAGAGTGCACCATATACAGAGTTTCGCGTTCTCTTGATCAATTGCGCAAATGTCTCATCGCTCTGCAATCGAAGTTTGACGGGCAAGAGGTTCAAGAAGAACCCCACCGTGTCCGCATATTTGTTGTCTAGGCGATTTGCATCCGCGATACCAAAGCAGAAGTCCTCCACTGAGCTACCCAGAAGTTTGAATAAAAGCACTTGAAGTGCTGCCGCATAGACGTGAAAGGGAGTGGAATGACAGCGCTGACTGCATTCTTTGATACGAGCCACTGCATCCTTCCTGACAAATGTGCGCGCCGTGAATGTATCGGCACTGGCAAAGGGATGCCGAGAGTTAACCCGAGCGAATGGTAACAGAGGCAAGGTCTCTGCTGGCTTGCTGAAACACTGTTTCCAGTACGCGATGCTTTCTGATAAATCCTCGCGACGGGCTAGATCTCGATCTTCAGCGGCATAATCTAGGTATCCGGTAGTGGGTAGTTGCAAATGTGGTGAGACATAGGCTCTGTCCAAATCGCAAAGAAATGTGCGAAGGCTGACTCCATCCATGATTATGTGGTGATAGCAGAGCATGAAGATATTCGAATCGCCCGATAGTTGGAGGACGGATGCCCGCATGGTTTTTCCAGTCGAAATGTCGAAGATGTGACGACGGAAGTTGGTGAATTCAGCATGAATGTCACTGGCGGGGCCAGTGTACCTGGACTCAAACAGAAATTGACCAGCTTTGAGTACTGCTTGGAAGGGCCGACCCGTAGAATTATCTACCTGAAATGCCGTATGTAGAGCGTCGTGGCGACCGATCACAGTCTGAAGAGCTCTCTCAAACTTAGACACATTGAGGGCACCCCTCAGCCTCCAGGCAAAGGCAACATTGTACGCTGTCTGGTCATTAGAGTAGCAATCAGCCAGCCAGATCCTTTCTTGCGAGCGAGACAGAGGAGCCGATTGGATGATTTCGACTCTCGCCTCTAGCATGGTACTTCGTTTTTCGTCGTCACCCCATGAAGTGCCAGGTGTACTAAATGACTCGGGGATGTGTTGGTCTAGGTCTAGATGCAGTGTTAGAAAGGTAACGAATAAACGTTCATTGCTATGCGGTACCTTCGTTCGAGCCCCACGTTGAAGCACTTCCAGATGCGGTTGGCGAAGTATCGGGTTGTTCTACAGAAAATGACTTCCTGTTAACGCGGGAACTATCAAACCTTCATGCGAGATGGTCTCTTTTTACCTTGAAATATTGCCTCGAGCCCCAAAGCCTCATTTTCGTCCACAATCTCGCCAGCACTACCTACTGGGAGCTTGGTCTCCTGATCTTCCAACGTTTCATTGTGCTGCAAAACCTTGGATTCAATGCAAGCGGAAGACTCAAAGCTTTCTGCGCCGTAATTAAGAGAAAGTTTTGCAAGGACGTCACTGCATATATCAAAGACAGATGCACCTCCGATCACCTTCAGTACAGGCACATCAACATTGAGCTCCTTTAGAAACCACGATCGAACCTCTACGGCGATAAGAGAATCGATACCTACAAAAAAGCGTCTTAGTCGCTGAGTAGCTTAAGGGTAACGTTACGTTGAACTCACCAACATCAACCAGAGGTTTCTGTATGTTGATGGAATTAGTAGACATTTGAAGAATCTTGGCCAATCGGTTTGTAAATGCGATGCACAAAGCTTTCTTTGCGTCTGCTTCGTCGGCTGCAGTTTTGAGTATGTGTTGTATTGGGATGCTCGATACGGCCGACCCGTCTTCTTCGCTTGAGAGTTGCTCTGACTCCCACTTCATATGAGAGAATCGAGGGTTCCCAAGCCATAAAGGTGGAGAGGAGTCTTCTGCAGACAGTCCCAAGCGTTTTTGCATGCCCGCTGAGAGCACCGACTGACGGCCTGAGTCAGGACGGCCTGATATGACTGCTTGGATGAACATTTGGTGGAACATCGGTTCTGAGATCGGCTGAAACTTATGGGAACGGAGGGAAATGACAGCCCTTTGATTTCGAGAGACATAGCCTATACCAACAATTTTGCCGATATCGATGGCAGATCCTGCCAACCCTCTGTTTCGGCGGTTTGAGGCCAATGAGCAGCAGTACATATTGCCAGCATTGTAGTTGGATTGGCCACTGTTGCCGATGACGCTGGCCAAAGAAGAGAGCATCACAAAGAACTCGAGCGGTCTCTCAGTTGAAAAGCAATCGTCGAGGTTTTGGGATCCATCAATCTTGGGCAGTACTGCTGCGCTCCAGTCGTCAATAGTCATATTAGTAAACAATTTGTCTCGCAGAACCATTGCACCATTCACAACACCAGCGATCGGAGGCATCTCGTCCGTGATTTTCTTGAGGAGCGCCTGAACGTCCGTCTTCTTCGTGATGTCATTAGACAAGAGCTTCACAGTGAGCCCACGAGCCAAGTGTCTTTGCACCCAAGCATCTGCCGCAGGAGGTTTGCGACTAGTTAAAACAAGATACTTTGCACCATTCTGAATCAGATAATCCGCAAGCGAGCGGCCCAATTCACCAGTCAACCCGAAGAGGATATAGGTCTTGTCCGGTGAAAATAGGTTCTTGGTATTAGTTGGCTGCACTCGAATGGCCACGCTTGAGTTCGATCTCCAGTCAAAGATGGAAAATAAATTCTAATTACCGGGAAGAATTAGAATGTAATAGAATAATAGGCAAGACGACCTTACATTTGTACGTTCGTAGGTTAGCTGTTCTGTTACCTCGTTGAGATGTGTCACGGCGGTGGTTAAATATTGTTCCCCTATACTTTTGGAACATGCCAAGGCCAGGTGCCGTTTCAGGTCCTCTTGAACAAGTAATGTTCGATTCCTAAAGGGGTATGAATGTGCCGTGACAATTTGTGACTTTTGAATGACAACGCAGGACTCGGCCATGGAGGTTGCAATTCGATTACCTAGTTGATAAGATGATAACAAACTGTCTGTAGCAAAATTGATAAGCATATCAACTGCAGATGGCAGTAAAGCTGCTAGTTGATTGTTCGACTGATATGGATGGATCCATAGCCATGGGTGCACGCCCTTGTGGCGTGAGTTTGACGTTGTCATGGTCACTTTGATATGCTTCTTGGTGGCCGCCTTTGAGATGACGGTCCCAAAGTATTCATCAACGTCGTGAAGGAGAATGGAGCCTCCAGAAGGAATATCATGCAAAAACTGCTGGGACATAACGTGCGTGGAAATGGTCATCAGAGCCGCTTCCAAGTCGACAAAGCTCTGAATAGCGAAGGCAGAACTAGACGGTACTGAGATAGCAGACGCAAGTTCAGAAGAGATGAAAGCGAAAATTGTGTCTGAATCTGCCTTTTTGCCGAGCGAGATGTATCTAACTGGAGTACCGGGATAGGTCACTGGATGTCTCACAGACAAGAGAGTATCGAAAGTAGAAAAACCTTCCGAGGTACAAGCCATCAGCGTTCTTCTCGGAACACTCTTCCGCAATTCAAGATGACCGTTGTGATTTCTGGACAGGACCATCTTCCAATATTTAGTCTGAACAGACTCAGTGATCAAGCGGCGCTCTGAGTTCAGTTTGTCATTCAGATCTTTGTTGGTAATGAGACGCTGTATTTGTTTCCGCGACCTTGAATAGGCAATCTCCGGCTCGGAAGTCCACAAATAAGACGTATCAAGAGTTCTCGCAGCAGCCAAACGCAGCAAATCTTCCGCTATGATATGCGCGCTAATGTCCTTGAGCGTAGATATGTCTATCAACTGCATTTGAAGGCTGGGATGTTCAAAGAGCATAGTACGAGCAAGCCCGACTAGCGCCATAGAATACGGAGAGGCGCCTTGAGAGCCTTGAGTCAGGCATAAGATATTATTCGCATGACAAAACATGAATTGGAGGGCCTTGAGCTTCTCTGCAGTAAGAGCTTGCAACACTGGTTCGTCCAAGTCATCGAGATAAACGACGGTGAAACCCTCTGCCGGATTAGAAGCTTCCAAAGCTGTAATGTCGCCGACCGCGCATACGTCCTGACTCCAGCAGCGAAGCTTGTTGCTAACTGCTTGGGCGAGTCGTTTCACTTCCAAGGTTCTGCCGCCGACGATGTACACATCGCCCACATCCGGTGCCATGTATGGCGCTGCTAATGGCTCTCGCAAGAACCCTACCATTTCGTCCATGGCCTGCGATATAATAACGGATAACGAGTGTTTTCGAGGGTCACTGAAGTCTTTTTTAATAATGTCAACTCCGGAGAAACCGGCCAGGGTCAGCGTCTCATTCCATTGCAGTGGGCTAATCGTGGGCGAGTAGCGACGTCCGTCGTCCCCGCCTAACCACCACCCCGGGAGACCGGACATGATGAATTTCAGACGCAGCATGTCTCCAGTCACTTCATTGAGAAGCAAATAGCCACCTGGGCGCAATAGCCTGCGAACGTGTGCCATAGTCTGGCCGAGACTGCGTGTAGCGTGGAGAACATTGGACGCAATAATCATATCGTAGGAGCCTTCGACATAACCTTGAGTACAAGGGTCCTTCTCAATATCCAGAGCGCTGAATATCATCTTGGTTCTTCCCTCTAACCGAAGGCGTGTCTTGGCACTCTCAAAGAACCCGGTAGAGATGTCTGTGAAGGTGTACGAGCCAAATGCACCGTCAATCTCCCTGAGCACCTCCCTAGTCATACCTCCTGTACCAGCGCCAATCTCGAGAATCTTCATGTTTGGGAACTGATGGGACAGACTCTTTGCGAATGAAGAAAGTTCTTGGTTGACATGTGGAACTCCCAGGCCTTCTTGGTACAGACGAGTGAGTCGATCCTCTTTCAGCATGACCTCCAGTAGTGGGACTGCGCCCTGTACATATGTAGGTAGGTTCTCACCGACCTCAACAACCAACTGAAGGTCAATCTGGTGTGGAAATTTGGCAACTAACGCAAGAATTGTATCATGCGTGTCAGTGACCCATTCCGCTCGAATGGACTGATGGGCGCCGTTAGCGACAATCGGCAGCAAGTAATCAGCAAATTCGAAGAGACGTTGATACCACCACTCGAAAGAGGCAACTTGGGCAGAAGAGAACTTTTCTCGTAGAGTGCGGAGGTAATAATAGGCGACGCGCTCGTTCGCTTCCACTGCCTCAAGATCAACAAAGTTGTCCGCTACGGCGCCGCCCTCATCTAAGGACAGCCCATCAACTAGTGTAACAGCGGGCTGCCAGATTGTCTCGGAGAATAGTAGTTGATCTGTAGCTTGTGTTGCCTTTGAGAATGACCTGCAAGTCAGTCCATCTAGTTGAATCTGCTGATTTCCAGAAGAGTCGTACACATTCAAATTTCCTGTGATGTGCAACGAATTCTCTTCCACAATCTGAGCTTCGATATTCACACTTCGGCGAGACGTGGCATTGCACAGGAATGGGTTAACTCTCATGCGGTCGATGTTCGTAGGCAGATACGGTGTCCAGAAGGAACCATCTCCTGGAAAGCAAAATGCCGCTATTACGGTCTGAAAACAGATGTCCAGTAATATGGGATGTACCATCAGGCCCGAAGCATAATCGGGATTGGCAGCGGGCATGTCCGTAGATGAGGTGGCAAAGCGTCTGGTCCGGGCAATACCGGTCATGTTTCGGAACGACTCGGTGTAATCCAGCCCGATCTCATTCATAGAGTCATAGAACTCATTGGCATCCACATTGACAAGACCCGGAATTTTATCTGGCTGATTCGGAAGGGTATCGATCGAGGCTTCTCCCAGGTGAAGAGTCATTCTTCCGCGGGAACACTGATCCATGATGCCAGAATTTTCATCCTGACAGGCATAACAAGCAAATTCTGCCATAATGCAGGACTTTGTAGATTCCAACAGCTTCAAGGTAAAGAGAATCTCAACTGCCGCGCCACCCTCTTCCAGTGTTATTGCTTTTCCGATAGAAACATTCTCCAACTCAATCATACTAACATTGCAGTCCTTAGACAAAGACTTCGATGCTTCTATCGCAAGCGCAATATGACCGGCTGCGGGAAAGAGAATCTGACCCTGGAATTTGTGGCCACGGAGCCATGGGATTTCCTCCACCTTCAGAAAGTTTCGCCACCGAAGGTCTTTTTTTTCCACATTATCCATGCACTGCTTCCCCAAGAGCTCATGGACCTTCTCTCTAGGGACGCGGAAATTTTTTGAAAGACGGGATTCTTTCCAGTACTGTTGATCATGGTCCCATTGATACGTTGGAAGGTTCTTCTGGAAGTTTGGGGTTTGTTCGCTGTTCGACTTCGTAAACTGTCCCAACTGCACCCCCTTAGCTCCCAGACATTCCCAAATAAACCCTAAAGCCGACGAAAATGCAAGAACATCGTCTGTTCCGCGTTTTAGTATGCCATGGTAGGGTATGTCGGTATTTGCGATTGCCTTTATTGTCTGAGTCGTTGGACCTTTGAGAGCTGCATGTGGACCAATCTCGATTGCAATATCGAAGGGGCCATGATCTGCCACAGCCTTGCTAACCGCCTGGGAAAATAGAACAGGTCGAACCATGTTATCTATCCAGTAGCTGCTCGCTATCATTTTCTGAGCTGAAGGGTCTGTGACATCGAAAGCGGTATCCACACTCGATACCCAGTTTACCGTTTGATGGGATTCGACGTCAATAGAGCACCGCTCTAAAGACTTCTGGTACAGCTCGGAGCATGGTAGCATATGGTGGGAGTGGTACGCCTTACTCACCTCGAGTACGCGGGCGAAGGTCTTCTGCTGGTCAAGTTCGTCCTTCATTTCTAGTATGGCGTCTGAATCACCTGAGATAGTTACGGTTGATGGTCCATTGCTCGCCGCCACGGCAAGACGGCCAGCAAAACGACTTTCGGAGCAAAGGACTTGGGCTTCAACAAAGGGGATACCCACCGCCATCATACTGCCACTTCCTGCTGAGCTCTCTGCATTGACACCTCGATAATATGCAATTCGAATTGCATCGCGAGCTGAAATGGCACCAGCGGCGTACGCGGCTCCAATTTCCCCAGAAGAGTGGCCAACCGCAGCGAAAAGACCAACACCCGCACTGTCAAGCAGATTTACAAGGCCGATCTGAACTGCAGTGCATAGGGGCTGAGATATCTCTGCTAAATGGATTCTTGACTTTTGCTCGGCACGGGTCAATTCATCCCTAATACGCCACGTCGGTCCATCCGATAGGTGGCTGAGAGAATCTTGCAGCTCGTCGATAGTTTGTGCAAAAATCTTCGAGGCATGCAAGAGCTGTGCACCCATCGTCGGCCATTGAGCTCCTTGGCCAGTAAATATAGCCAGAATTTTTGGTTTGTCATTGGCACTATTGAGTAACATTTGTGTCCCTAGCACTGGTGACTTTGCTTCCTCAGCGTCTTTGGTCGCTGCACCCATACTGGCTAATAACCCTCGAAGATTTGACGATGCAAATGCCTTTCTATAGGGCAGCTCCGCACGCTTGGACTGTAAAGTCCATGTCAAATCGAGCATGTTATGCTCCGAGTCCGGCGCTGACAAGTGTTTAACAAACGCTTTCACAATAGCCAGGAGGGAGGACTGAGAATTGGCAGAGAAGACGATGGGGCTGAGTAAATTAGATGGTGTAGAACAGGCTTGGCCCTTATTTTGGCCATCTTCGAAGCTTTCAAGAATAGCGTGGGCGTTGGTTCCGCCAAACCCAAAACTATTGACGCTGGCCCTTCGTACAGAGGAACCAGCGACTTCTGGCCATGGCACCGCCGCTGTTGGTACACGCATATGCTTAGTGAAAGGCACGATTTTTGGGTTCAACTGCTCCAGATGAAGGTTTGGAGGCACAATCTTGTGTTGTAGAGCCAGTGATGTTTTGATCAGTCCAGCAATCCCCGCGGCGCCTTCCAGGTGACCAATAACAGTCTTGATGCTGCCGACGTAGAGGGTATCGCACTCCGGTGTGACAGCGGCGTCGTGCTTGAAAAAGGCTGTGTTGATGGCTTCGGCTTCTAGAGGATCCCCGACTGAGGTTCCAGTTCCGTGGGCTTCGAAGAATTGGGGCCGATCATTCTTCTTTGTCAAGTCCAAACCCGCACGAAGATAGGTGTCGCGGATAAGGGTTTCTTGGCTTTGGGAGCTCGGCATTGTAATACCGGGAGTCCTTCCGTCTTGATTAACGCCAGTTTCTCGGATGAGGCATTCGATCGAGTCACCGTCACGAAGTGCATTGGAAAGCGTCTTGAGCATAACGACTGCCACTCCTTCTCCACGACCGTACCCATCTGCATTGTGATCCCACATGCGAGATCGCCCATTCGGAGAGAGCATGTTCAGCTTGGATTCGATTATGTACATCTCGGGACCGAAAATCAGGTTCGCTCCCGCCGCCAACGCGACCGAAGTCTCACCACTGCGTAAGCTCTGCACAGCGAGATGCACCGCAACCAGGGATGACGAGCAGGCAGTATCGATGGTCATACTAGGACCCTTCCAGTTGAAAAAGTACGACACCCGGTTGCTGAGAATGCTCCGAGTGGTGCCTGTTCCGCTGTACTTCGGTATTGCCCCCATGTCCCGTAGGTGGATATCGTGGTAGTCGTTGGTCATTAAGCCAACATATACGCCTGTCTGAGAATGCTGAAGCCCCTGAACCGAAGCTCCAGCATTCTCCATACACTCGTATACTGTTTCCAATAGAATTCTGTGTTGCGGATCCATAGCCTCTGCTTCTCGAGCATTTATAGCGAAGAATGATGCGTCAAAGACGCGGGGATCTTCTTCGAGGAGGTAAGATGCTTGCACGTTCGAGCTCCCGTGGTGTGCTCCATTGGGATGATAAAAGCCATCAGAATCGAATCGATCCTTCGATATCTTGGATAGAAGCTCCCTTGGTGTCTGCAGAAGATCCCAGAGTTTTGAAGGACTAGATGCGCCTCCAGGAAATCTGCAAGAACTGCCAATGATGGCGACAGGCTCTGGCTGGGTTGCCATTTGAATTGATAGCTGAGCTAGTTGTGCAAATAATGAATGTTTGAGATGGGAAGGAAGAAAACTTGGGTTTTGTATAATGCTTTTTACTTAAATTTGCGATGAAAGTAATTCATTGCTAACATCTAATTCTTGAAGTGTTATGTAGTTATCGGTTCAAGAAAACGCCGACCGGCCGGGATACAGGGAAGCCACGACGCCGAAGTCCGAACGCGCCGATTCCGAATCCGAAGCCGGGTCTTTAAGCAATGGTGACAAGATTATTGAATCATCTCATCGTTGATTAATGCCAATGCATGTTCGTAGCGCAACATAATTAGGCGCTCAGAGTCTATCCACGCACAGTCATTTCATCCAATCCTAAAGGACAATGTACACCTTTTTCAAGTCTCAGTTCTTTCACTTCGAGTTCCTCCGTGTCATTGGGACAGCCCCCTTTGAGGGATGCGATATTGGGGAATGCCTGGAAGCACTTGCCTCAATCCGAAATAATGACGCGGAAGGCTGGTTTCGCGCCTGGGTAGATATTGGAGCCAAAGCAGAGAAGGTTGCGGTCGATGCCGACAGGCGGGGTGATCGTGAAGCAAGTCGATGGGCGTGGATCCGGTCAGGTAACTATCTGCGTGCTGCTGAGTACATGCTGCACTGTACTCCGAAGGACCCGCGGCTGTTGAAAACCCTCGAGCATAGTGTGTCCAACTTCCAGCGCGGATTCCAATTGCTAGAGGACCCCAATGGTCGAGGGGGGGAGGTCTTGCACCTGGAGATACCGTACAACGGAGACATGATGCTGCCCGCGTACCTGTTCATGCCCTTACGCGAGGCCGATTCGAAGGGTCCCGTTCCCGTTATTGTGAATAGCGGGGGTTTTGACTCTACGCAGGAGGAGCTATACTTTTATGTTGCTGCCGGTGCGCGGCGGCGTGGCTATGCCGTCCTGACGTTCGACGGGCCGGGTCAGGGCATCTTTTTGCGCCAACAGGACCAGAAAAGGGGATTCCCTGCAACAGCAAGACCTGGAACCTATATGCGACACGACTGGGAAGTCGTCATCAGCAAAATACTCGATGGACTGTTCTCGTATGCAGCTGAGAGCCCCCAGTTGCATCTTGATCTTGAAAGAATAAGCATATTTGGCGAGTCGATGGGGGCATATTTTGCCCTGCGCGGCTCCGCCGATCCTCGCATCAAGGCGTGCATCGCAATGGATGGCTTCTACGACATGTGGGACATTGCCGATTCCAGAATTCCGCCCGTGTTTCTGAAGGCGTGGGACACCATGGGTGACGGGTTCTTCAACCGCGTTGTCCGGTCGCTAGGCAAGGTGGACTTCCGTACACGGTTCGAGTTCACCCACGCCAGGTTCGCCCTAGGGCTACCGGACTTTGCACAATCAACTAGGGAGTTTAAAAGGTTTACGCTTCGCAGCGAGGACGGTTCAGAGTATCTGCGACATGTCAAGTGCCCCGTGTTCGTCACCGGAGCCGCGGACTGGGCGTATTTTCCGGCAAAAGGGAACGCGACCAAGATCCATGCTGTCATGGAGCAACTTCATCCAGGAAAATCCAAGCTTTGGATTGCCAAAGGGGTTGGCTCCGGTGGGCTCCAGGCCAAGGTTGCGGCTATTTCAGTGGTCCATGATAAAACATTCGAGTGGTTAGGTCAGGTGTTAGCACAAGCATAATAGTCCAGACAGATAGCGATCACAGCATCAATACTTCACTTTTCGTGAGTTTTTTTCTGAAATAGTATCTAATTATTACAGCATCCGCCTTTCCATTATATCCTATAAACTCGATCAAGTGAAAGCAAGCATAAGCCTACCACAAAAGGCAAACAAGAGGACTCGCGGCCGTTGATTGAGCAATTTGTTTGCACTAAGAAACCCATATTAATAAGGAACACGGACAATGCTAGACAAGGAGCTTGTTAGCCCAATTAAACACGTTGTTTTCCATCGGTACTATAGCTGCCCTCGGATCAAGTAATTAGCTAAGTACTCATTCAGAAACAAATTTATTCCTCAACAATGATATATTCGTGCATCTATATGCGGACAGCTATTTGTAGTAACTGGTCTAATGCGAGTCGAGAAATTCTAATTACCGCCCAACCTTCATCATTCGTGCTTCTCCCTCTTCTTCGCTGGCCTTCGCGCTGGCTCCATCTCTAAACCCAAACTCTGTATTCAACTCATCCCTCAGCTTCAGACTTTTGAGCAAAAAGGACAACGGAACACCGATAACGGCAAATGCGAGACCGACCTGCCAAACAAGCTTCAGACTATCCACGTAGATGTCAACCACCTGGCTCTTTAACACGGGTGTATCATTTAGAGATTCCATGAATGTCTTAGTAGCCAATTGATACGCACCACCGTTTTGGAGCATAGCTCGAAGCTTTTCGTCGGATATGCGGTCAGCCAGGTTTGTGAAACGTGTGTTGAATATGGCGGATGGGATTGAGACACCCCAGATAGATCCGAAGCTGCGGAGGAAAGCCCACGTGGCCGTCGCTGTCGCCACATCGGATTCTGGCAAACTTGCCAGGATGGCGGGCAGAGTAGCAATAAGAGCGATGCCAGAACCCATAGCAAGCACAACCTGGTAGACAACCCACACAACGGTGGTTGTCTTGTCGTCAAGCATGGTAAAAAGTCCCATGCCAATTGCCATGGCAGCGAAGCCGGCGGCGAGTAACCACTTGTAACTACCTGTGACGGTGATGAGAATGCCGCCGATAATGGCGAACGGCACCATAGGTATGACGCTGGCAAAAAGATCGATGCCGGACTTTTCGGGTGTGTCCTCGAGAATGGACTGAAAATAGACTGGTAGAAACAGATTCACCCAATAGAGGATGACGCCGTGCAAAAAGCTGAGTAGGTAAGTCAGCGCGGCTGTGCGGTTGGAAAAGAGACGCAGAGGCGTCGTCGGCTCCAAACACCATGGACTGTTCTGGTAGAACATGAAGCCGACCATACCAAGGAAACCCAGCATCAAAGGAACAAGAATGTTCCACGAAGCCCATGGGTGTTCAGTGCCACCCCAGGTGAGCGACAGTAGGATAGAAATGACGGATGTGATTAAGATGGTATTGCCGATGAAGTCGACACGCTTCAGCTTGGCTAGAATCGTAGTGTCACGATCGTACCGCACATTCAGGAACAATAGCATCAGCAGCAATGTCACACCGCACAGTGGTAGATTGATGTAAAACACCCATCGCCAAGACGTGTGGTCGACAATCGCACCACCTACCACGGGGCCAATGAAAGTGCCAACAGCAAAGGCTGTGAAGATGATGCCCATGACCTGTTGGCGTTCCCGTAGGGGAACCAGGTCTGCGACAATGATTTCGGTCATGACGTTGATGCCTCCACCACCAAGACCTTGGACCACACGGGCGGCAATGAGCATCTCCGTGCTCGATGCGCCACCACATAGTCCGCTCCCTAGGGCAAAGAGCAACACTGCCACAATCATTGGCCAGCGGCGCCCAAATACGTTGGAAATCTGTCCATAGAGTGGCTGGACAGCCGTTTGGCTCACAAAATAGCCGTTAACAGCCCAGACATATAGAAGGTTCGAGCCTAGCTTGCTAGAAATGGTGGGCAAGACAGTCGACAGAATAGTGGCATCGAGGGCGCTCAGCAGTCCGCCGATGCAAAGACCGGGGAATATGGCCCAAAATCGCCACCCGTATCCTTTCTTTGGTTGTGACTCGGGCATTATTCGGGTCAAAAATTTGAAAGGATTTGGACAGCTCGAATAGCTATGTGAAAGAAGTATTGTGGCTTGCCCTAGTTTTATAGCAGATGCCATCGGCGCTATGATAGAGGACCGCCGAACCCGATTTGGTGGGTTTTACTCGAAAGGGCAAAAGCTGCCGCAGCAGCCTCGGAATTTCTAGTACCTGTAAGGCTCAAACAGGCGAGAGCGTGACCACACAAAGTCATGCCTTAGTTACATGCGTTGCTTGTACCAAACTAGGACTGCTCCAACGGGAAGATCAGGTACCCAGGTCCACGGGTTTAGTTCCCTGGCGTTCACCGACTTAGCACCTTGTCAACTCGACCCACGGGACTGTCAGTCTCAGTTAGGATAGCGCTCTAATCATAGAATGGTATCTTTGCGAGGTTTTATGCAATCCCTTATTAGCCACGTAAACCAGGCCTCTTGATCTAATACGGGGCGCGGTGTCCGAGCTATTCACCTTCACATTTGCCATGATGGAGAATGTGACACCATGAACGAGCTGACAGAGGTATCGAATCACATGGCTTGCAGGGTCTTTGTCCCTATCTAGTCTGCCGTGTGTAGTATTGGGGCATTTGTAGAGACCCTCAGGCGCTTGCTTTATACTGCGAAGCAAGGCTACTTTTGAAAGCTGTATTAAACACGGCGACATTTTCCCACGAGTTGTGCTCAAGAGAACTTCTCTGTTTCGCCTATATTACGTCTACTTAAGAACTGAAAGCTATCAACCAGGAAATGGAGATCCTACCTTCTAGAACAACAACATCGCAAAATTCTGACAAAGCAAACGACTATCGCGTGAGAAGTTTTCTCCATCCCTATACTGAAGTCAAGACACATTGAGCCCCGTACCGTTCGGCGCTTTCAACGCATTAAATGCACCGAAATGATTGGGCCTAGCGCGACGAAGTCCAAATCAAGAACGCCGCAAGAAAACAGCCCCACGCTGGAACATCCACGAGCAACCCTCTTGTTAGGTTCATACGACACCACACTCGCACAATATCAGTGCTCCCCTGTCCCTTTTTCTCCTTTATCGAATTAAGCAGGGACATTGCACGGGGGCCCCATAACATGTGACCCAGGCTAAAGGCCAATCCCAGGATATAAAGAATAAAGGCAGGTTTGCTTTGCTGTACCAGTTTGTCCACAGGCAAATTTGCAATGGCCGTGCACCAGGTCAGTGGATAGATGGTAAAGATCAAAACCATGCCCCGGCTGTACCAGATGGCGATGTATGCCGGGAGCAGCGCTTCGGCGGCTTTAGCAACAGAAGGATCCAGGTAGGGCTTGAAGTAGAGATCTTCGGCGGCAGTAAAGGTGAGGTATGCTGAGGTGCTAAGTAGCGGCGCGATGCGAAGCAGAGACACCGCGGCAGCCATTCTTGTCGACCCTGACCGCAGTGTAGTGGTTATTGATGCTATATGGCGATGAATGTTAAATGCTAAGCTGGGGGCGGAGCTCGTTGGCGGCTTTTACAAGCAGGTTCGGCAGGTTTTTCCCGATCGGGACATGGCACAGCGTTGTTCATGGCCCTCTAGCCGACCGACTGACTTGCTGCTGTCACCCCGTTGTTTACACACCGCACTGACATTAACCCCGCAGCCTGTCGACACTGGCCGCCCAATTCCTTCCTTACAAGCGGCTTCTTGACAACAGCACGCACTCGAGAGCTCTCAGAAGCCATGCAACATAGACGCTACGATCTCGTCGTTTTTGGTGCCACGGGGTATCTGGGTTCCTTGGTCAGCAATTACTTGTCTGCCAATGCACCAGCTACTCTCAGATGGGCCATAGCCGGTCGGAATGCAGCCAAGCTGCGGGAGCTGTCGGGCAGGCTACAAGATGCCTACCCTCATCTTGAAGCGCCCGAAACGGTGGTCTCAACTCTTGAAATTGATGATTTGGACCGCATGGTATCCGAGACAAGGCTGGTCCTTAACACTGTCGGCGTAAGTCCCCGACCCAAAGTGTGTTCGTGTGCTGCCATTGACTAAATAAATATATGGCAGCCGTTTAGCAAACACGGGACACCAGTTGTTGAGGCATGCATTAGACAGTCCACAGCCTATGTGGATTCTACTGGCGAGCACACCTGGAGCCATGAAATTGCCATGGCTCTTCATGACCACGCCATTGTTAAAAGGGCAGCTGTATGTTAACCTGCTCACCACCCGCCGTTCTGCTAGACTGAAAAGCTAATAAGAGCAGATCATCCCCCATTGCGCGATTGAGTCTTCTCCACCAGATCTCATGACATATCTACTGCTAAGAAAGATCAACGAAGCTCGTCTGGTTCCAACAGGGCCATTATACTTTTCAATCGATCACACCTGGCCAGGATACAGTGGCGGTACAGTCGCCGCCATTCTCGGTGTGTTGAGCACCTACTCTCTATCGCAGATAAATGCCTCCAGTGTGCCCATGGCCTCCTGTGTGCCCAACTCTGGCTCCAATTCCCCCCATGCCATCTCGATTCTGCCGGTGCGGTACGACTCATTCTTGGGTCCTGTGACATTCAATCCCTCCGCTATGGCTGACCGCTGGGTCGTCTTGCGCACATGGTCCCTACTCCAACGCTTTGGAGCTGTGGAGGAGAAATATGGACAGCGCTTTAGTTTCCAGGGATATAGCCGCGCCCCAAATGTACTCCAGGCATGGCTGTCCTTTCTCGCTGTATCATTTGTGACGTTGTTTGTCATCTTGCTCCCGCCCGTGCGAAGCCTCTTAGCATGGTTATCACCAGCACCTGGGACGGGACCGCAGGTCTCTAGGGAAGAGAAACACTATGTAGAGTGGAAGGCCACATTGCAGGCTATTCCGACGACCGGAGGCTTGAAGCATGCCGCCCGTGCGACTGGTACCATGAGAATCAACATGGATGTATACCGATGCTGTGCTCTCTTAGTTGCAGAGGCTGCCCTGTCAGCTATTGAAGTGCTTGACAGCGGTGAGCCTTCGTCGCTTTTGACCCGACTCCAAGGGGGTGTACTGACGCCTGCATGCCTAGGCATGACGTATATTGACAGACTGAAAAAGGCCGGGTTGGACATCAGTATCAATCTAGAAACATCCCCTAAAGAGAAGTTATAAGGCTCTATAATGCTACTTCAAAAGATGGATATATTTAGCAAAAAAAAAATGAACTACACTTAGTACCGAGAATAGTTAAGCTACTGGCAGAGATGTACCTTTTTTGAGCTTTGAAAATGCTTGCTAGATGCTTTAGAGTGAAAATTGCATGCGTTCCTGTATCATGAAACCATCGTGAACGAGTGAAGCTATTCGATGCCATACACAAGTTTTACCCCGCGAACTTTACCATTACGCAGATCATCAATACCTTGGATTACATCAGTCCAGTTCCCATTTGTCACTTTTGCCGGATGAGGCCGTAGGATCCCACTGGCAACCAGGCCGTCGGCTTGCATATACCACGACCGAGCCCACTCCATATCACCTGGCGCGGCAGCACGCTCAAAAGGACCTTTGAGGTCCACAGCTTTCCCAAATATGGTCAATGCCATTACCCAATCAGTCCGTATATCTTTGCGAGACTGTTTAATGTGCTCTGGGGGCGGTTCTAGTGCTGTATACTGGCCTCCGCGCGGGCCTATGGCCGTGTAACATATTTTCATGCTACTCGAGTCGGTGATGCAATCCAGAGCCTTCTGTAGTTTGCCTTTGGTGAAGGCACGGATGGCGACTCCACAAGACGGCGAGTGATAGTCAAAAGCTTTCTCGGCGCCAAACGACTTGACGAGGTTGAAGTTGGAGAGTGAACAGGTTGTCAGAGGAAGATATCCGGCGCTGGATGTTTGTTAGCCTTTTGAATATGGACTGCTTCTGCGCCATATATATGGGGATAGGATGAAAACTTGCAGTCGTGCCAGCTGAATTGCCATGGTACCGGTTGCCGTACTCCCCCCATATACCAGAATATAGGGCTTATTCTTGGAGTCTTTGTTCTTCGCGTCAATGCTAGCATACGGCACCCCGATGGATGGTAATCCCAAACTTCGAAATAGCGACATGCCCGCTGTGACAATGCCGGCCCCCAGGCAGGCCGCCTGCGCGTTGCCAAGGCTCGGCGACACACGCATCACAAGTCCCTCATCAACACTGACGTACTGAGCAAAGGCACCCGCCCACCCCGTTTTGCCCGCATGGGGGTCTAACCCATAAAGGAATCCGCACACCGCGTCTCCGACATTCCAGCGCTGAACGTGGCTACCGACAATGACGACTTCGCCGGAGAAGTCATTGCCGCCAACGGTACCAATGGCTGGCGAGAAGTCTATCATCTTCCAGTTGCAAGGATTCAGGGCAACATGGGTCACTCGTACGATGATGTCTTGCGGCAAGGGTGGCTGCTTGGGTAGACAATGGCGCTGGGCGATGGTGTAAGTGCATTCTGATAGGGCTACCAGGGCTGTCTGGGTTGAAGGGAGGACTGCGTCCTCTTTTTTCATGGTGGGTGTCGTTGTGACAATGATTTTGATACAGGAGCATACAGGAGCATACCAGGGAAGAATTTAAGGGTCATGTTTCAGTTCATCCTTGCTAAGTAGGTGGGCTACTCCTTCGGATTCGGTGCTAGGTATTATCACAGGCGTTTCGGCTTCGGCGGTTTATTCCTATAGCGAGTGTACAAAAGTCACTGCTTTGCATGGCTTGCTTTCTATAGATAATATATACTTCTAGCAAAATTTTAGCACTGTCTGGTTGTCTGTTTTATGTTCTTAACCATCTTCCGAAGTGTTCCGATTTTCCCTAGCCGTCCTCCGGGTTTGGAATCGTCATCCTCCCGAACCACCATCTCGATCATCTCCCATGTTAAGCCTGTTCTTTCTAGGATAGGGTTTGTCTGCGGCGGCAAGTCCTGACTGGGAAAATCATCAGAGTCGAAACCACACCACCTCTTGGCTGGCCTCGACTGAGACGAGTGGTCAGGGTTGATTTCACGTGGCGTCGTTACGTAACGCTCCCACTCATCAATCCCCAGTGTACGCTCTATCTCATCAAGTAGAAAAATGGCTATCTGGACTATGACGAGCGTCTGCAGAGCCCCGTTGTGCGTCGGCTGGAACCCGCCGAACTGCAGTGGGGGAATGACTGGATTGATCTTGGCACGATAATCAATGCCAGTCGAAGCGGCTATGGCGTCGAGTGCTTCTTTGAAATATAACATTTGCGTAAAAACGGTCAGAAAAATGTCAAGTATGTGAGCATAGCACGTTGCCAGAACAAGTGCGCTCGAGAGATTGGCGCTAGTCTTCGATATCTTTGCCGGTCGCTTTGGGAACGATTGCGTCAACGGATTTCTAAGTATCGCAGCATTGCAGGACGACGAGGTCCAGCTGTTGGGGCTGCCCCGAAACGAGTCTGTAGCTGTAGATGAAGGCTGGACTCCAGTTGCTGCGGATGCCGGTGTGGCAGTGGTCAGCTTAGCAAGGTTGGTAAAAGCCTGCGTTTTCTCGAAAATCTCGACGAGCGGATATTCGTAGACTATCTTAGTGGCTTGTTGATCGCAAGAGGCCAAGAGAGCAGCAAGGGTGGAAGGAGACTCAAACATGCTCGCCCAAGGCTCCCCGTGCAGGGAGTTGTTGAGTCTGAGGAGGGCAGTATTCAGCTCTGACAGTTTGTGGGTTGCGTCATGGGAGTGGTTCTCGGTGATGGACTCCGGGGCGAACGGCGTTGGGGGCTGTTCGACGCTAATACCACCGGGGTGGTGGACGGGAAACGCAAATGCATGAGACTGAGTGTCACCCGGAAGAGAGCGTGGACTTGGAATGCCAAAAAATTCGGAGAAGCTCCAGTCGAGTATATATGATGGTGTCTCCGCAGGTGTCAGTGCTGGCGCAGAGTCTGCTGCTGCTCCTACTGTGGTTGTTGCTGCTGAGGGAGGGTCGACAGTGGCATCCTCTGCGAACACTACGCGCGGAATGTCCGCCTGCGGGGGCTTCATACGAGGTTAGCCAGCCAACCACTGGCGAGCGTGATAAGAAGAGGGCAAAATAAGAAGACGTACAGTGCGTGTTGTACCATCTGGTGCGTCGGATGCGTCTGTTGCGTCTGTCGTGTCAGTTGCAGTATCCGCTGCAAGACGTGGGATCTTAGGTGGTCGGCCGCTGCGAAGCGGGGAACTCCAAACACAGGGCCTCTTTAGGCGATAGCAACGCGCACAAGAATTGCTATCATCGGGTCTTGTGCAGCGCAATTTCTGGAAATGACACTGGTCACAGGCAAAGCGGCGGGTGCTCGAGTCAATGATGACGCCAAAATTGGGGCTCCGAGATGTCGACATGGTTTCAAATCATAATTGTTTTTGGGCGTTGAAAAGCTGACCGCCTGACTGGTGGGCATGCGCTTCTTTTAACTTGCCCTTAAGTATTGCCATTCCGCACGAACAAGGCTACCCAACAGGAGGCAAAAATGAGAGATAATGAATTTTGTGAGCCACCCGCAGGCGAACGAGCGGATATCATCACAGCCAACGTGGCGCAGCTTTTTCTCGCAAAGGCTTGCGTGCTGACTGCACTATCGACACCAGTTGCAGTAGCGTCTACACACCTCTCCGCAAACCGCTGAAACGGTTCAAGTTGGCCGCCTTCCGCTGTACAGTGCGGATAAGGAATGTTCCAAACTAGGTACATGAAGCTGTCGATGGATCAGCAGGAAGGTGGTGGGGACAATAATGCAGCGTGATGTCGTACAGATTACTGGGGATATCCCCGCTAGATCCTTCGAAGAAGGAAAGCGATACAAAGGAACATCGTCCGATAGACAACTATGAAGGTGCTGAAGGATGCAGTAGCACGTTGCTTTGCAGTGGACGCTCCCTGGGCACGACTGCCGTCAGCCGCCGCCGTTGCGAACTTGCGAGTCTCCGAGAGAGCATGCCACAGTTCTACATTGTGCTTCCTGCTCTCAGCATCTCTACGAGATCTCGAGAGGAGGCTTATCCCATTATAGCAGAGGCAGAGACTTGATAACTCGTACGGATGGAAGCCCATCGGATCCCAAGCCGACGAGATTCATCAGAACATGACCCAAGACACAGTGGCGTCGTCTAGCTACTGGGTGTGGTGCGTTTTGTATTGTATCCCTGTCAGGTAACTCTCTCCAGCAAAAATAAACCCCTGTCCGATGAAATACATCTTCGCCCTGTAGGTACGTCGCCCCTCTTGTTGGTACCAGCCTGGGCATACAAGACTTACCCACTGCCATCATACTCAGTATTTCGATTCAAAATTTCAGGCTGACAATATTTAACGCCTGTTGTGAGTTTGTAGCCAGAAATAGGCAGGGCTGGCTAGACCCTGGCCTGTTTTTGTCTTAGTTAGCGCCGGATGATGCCTTGGAGGAACCGGGAGCGGAGAGGGGCTGAGTCCTTCACACCACTATCTCTTCTGCAAACACAAAAAGTCCATGGCAGCGAAAGAAGGCTCTCCGAAATTGGCTGCCTAGCCTGGTTAACCTATGGGCTGGAGGTTGACGGATACCGATTCAACGAGTAAGCGCGAAAGGCAGTGAACTCCTAACCAGTACAGTTCATATTTGTGCCATGAGTGACATTGAAGGTTACGGTACGGATTCTTTCTGGTATGCTAGCTAGAGGTGGCGTGAGGAAATGAGGACAAGCGGGTGTACGAGTACGAAACTGCTTTGGGAGAGCTGTCGTCTAACAGCAAGCATTGGGGCTACCGAGTACCAGAGGCGGAAAGTAGGTCTGCGGGCACGAGTAACACTGGCGCTGGGTAGATTCGAACTGCCCGACTTGGTTGTCCAATTGCTCCGTACGGTGTGGAGGGAATAGTACCTTAGTCGAGCAGAAAGTCTATCAGGGTAACAAAACAGACCGCCAGTAGCCTTCCACAAACGGCAAAGTATTGACAAGACTATTATACTCTTGATACTAAAGAAAGATATATTATAAGAGTTAATTTTATTATTTAACCTTCAAAAAATAAAAATAAAGGTATTTTTATAAGATTTAAACTTATAATTTATATATTAACTTATATAAAACTCGTTAATATAAAGTTATTATATTATAAAAGTAATATAAATAGCTTAGCTATTTAAATAGTTTAGTTTTTAAAAGTAGAACTTAAACTAAATATTTAAATAGATAATAATATATATATAGAAGAAAAGTTATTTAGAAAGTTAAATTTAAAATAATTTAAAATAATTATTATTTTAATAGTATTTAGTTTAAAAAATATACTAATTTTAAACTTTATTTATTAATTTCTATATTATTTCAATATTATTTTTATCTTTTATAAAACTTTAAAAACCTTATAATCTTAGACTTTCTATATATATAACTATTAAATTATTTATAATGTTTATTTTTTAATTTTATACTTTTAAAAGTAATAATCTATATTTAAATAAATTTTTTAGAATTTATTAAAAGTTTTAAATCTAAATTATATTATATTAAAAAAGATATATTATAATATTACTATATAAAAATTAAAGAATTATAATAGATTTAAATAGC